GTCTCTCTTGTGGGTATGGGAAGTATCTTGAGGAAGGCCTCATTGAAAGTACTTGGAAGGAGTAAATGTTGCCGCTCTTAAGTCTTGGAACTTACTGAGGAGTTTGTGAAGAATGCTGCAAAGTACAACTTGAGGTAGTTCTCAGGGTTTTTGAATGAAGTAAATGTAAGTAACTCTGCCCTTGCAGCAGGGATGATGTGAGCGCTGCCAATGCCTGTTCCTGAGATGTAGTTATCTGGAAATGGGTTGGCTCAGTACCTGGAAAGTGGGTGTCTTGAGGACTGGCAAAGGATCATTGAACTTGACACTGCAAAGCTCATGTTGGTGTTATCTTGTGTAACCCCTACATTTAGGGTAGGACATTCTGTCCAGCAATAGCCCATACACCCCAAAAGATCTTTCTATGGCCTTATGCAGAAACTGGGAAGGTGAGCAGGGTGTCTGAATTGTAAACGGGGATAGAACAGGACAAGCCTAGTAGGTCATGTATTGCATCACCTGCTTTTTCTTCAGGTTATCCCTCTGTGACCTTGCGGGGTCAGAGCGCTGTAAAGACCAGAAAAGTGGGGACCGAATGAAAGAAGCAAACAACATCAACACTTCCCTCCACACACTCGGTCGCTGCATTGCTGCCCTGCGCCAGAACCAGCAGTCCAAGTGAGTATCCAGAACTCCATAGGGAGCATGTGGGGAGACTGTTTTGCTTTCCCATGGGCTGACTTTTGTCTCTCCCCATAGATTGAAGCAGACTGTGGTTCCCTTCCGGGACAGCAAGCTAACCCGAGTGTTCCAGGGTTTTTTCACTGGACGTGGGCGCTCTTGCATGATTGTCAACATTAATCAGTGTGCATCTACATATGATGAAACTCTTCATGTAGCCAAGTTCTCGGCCATTGCCAGCCAGGTAAGTAGCACACAACAGGATCATGACATGCTCAGGATATACCCTGCTTCTGTGAGAATGGGCCCCTTTCCATCACAAGCCAGGGGCAATACTTGCAAGCCTTCCCTATGCTTCTCCAGTGGATTATTACCTTTACAGTTATCTCCAGATTCTGCTACATTGAAAGGGTTGACAGGTTCAGAGAAGTGCCATGTTTAAAGACTACACAACTTCCAGGCTTTGTGGACTAGTACTGATGGCCTTTTCCCTTTCAGCTTGTTCAGGCACCTCCCACAAAGCTGAGACTTCCATCCATCCAATCAATCATCAAAGAGCACCACAGGCGAACCAGCCAGGGTCTAGAGGCAGCAGCAGAGGAAGAAGCGGAATCAGAAGAGCACAGTGAGGATGAAGCAGATGTCACCATGTATGAGAAGGAGGTGGGTTGTGATTGGTTTTACAGCTTTTATGGATGGAGGGGCAAGAACATGACTGGGAGGTTTTGCTGGAGCTCAGCACTGTGCCAAGAGATGACCAAGAACCTCAGAAGGATATGGGACCCAGTAAGTTGGAAAACCATTCCACAGTTGATCTAAATCTTAAGCACATGCTAAATTTAGAAACATTTTGTCATCTATGGAACAGGGACAGTGAGAGCTCGGGTGCAGATCTATATTCCCTACTCTGCAAGGGAAATCTAGAGATCAGGAAACATACAAAGAAATGGCTAAATTAATTAAGGAAAAATGTCAAACTTCCTAGATATTCCAAGTAGCCAGCTGGAATAGCTGAAAGATTAAGATGGAAGACATATACCTACAGAGACCTGAGCTGTAATGCATGAAGGTAGCAAATGCGGGTGTAGCCCTGGGCAATGCAGTAGGGCAAGCTGCTCTGGAGACAGCTTCATGTGGAGTGCAATGTTTAAGCCATCTCATGGGAGAGGAATTAAGAGCAAACCTGGCAACTTCTCTTTCCAAGTGACTAAAAATCTTAAATCTAGATCACCCCAGCTTATGGATATGGGATCAGCTAGCTGCTTCTATGTCTTAATTCTGTTGTGAAGTGTGGGCAATGGAGTTTGTGTCCTTCTTGCAGGACTTGTTGCGTGTAGTAGAAGCTGCACGAGAACTGCTGGTGCAAGAGCGGCGGGAGAAGCTGCAACTAGAAATGCGACTCCGTGAGGAGATCTGCAATGAGATGTGGGAGCGCATGCAATGGAAGGAGCAGTGGTGCAGGTACAGCTTATGCTGTTCTCCTTGTTCAGGGTGAGGTACAGTACTAAGAACTGCCAGACCCTGACATGTAGATGTTTGCTCTCTTTGTAGCCAATATGTGGATGCTCAGGAGCAGATGCTGGAGGAACTGTATGAGGATAAACTGAATAACCTGAAGGAGTCACTAACCGACTATTATCAGGATGAGATCCAGGTTTGTTCAGGGCAATGGAATGACATCAGGAAAGTGGCAGTGGGTTGTGAGTGGGCCTTGGGGTACTTGAGTCCAGGAAGGTGACTTATGCAAAATGAGAGGAAAAAATTTACTTTTTGTGGTGTTTTTTGTGGTATTACTTGATAGTGTGATCTGCAATTTTCACTTCTCGTCTACTACTTTATGTAGTTCACTGAGCTTTCTAATTTCCAGCCCTTAATCTAGAAGCTAATGTGCAACCATTCTGATTCTTCTATTTGTTCAATGCGATTCTCTCCCCTTTTACTCTTTTTGCTAGTGGCTTGCTTTGCACTCTTCAGATTAACACAAGTTCTGTGAATTTCTCTTCTTACTCTTTTAGTTATGATAATGGGTTTAGGCCTGTCTATATTTTTCATGCTATGGCATTTGAGTGGCCTCTGGGACTTGTTGCAGACCTCTCAGAAGATGCCAACTTTCAAAAAATATCTTGTCTTTAAAGGCTGGAAAAGAGTGGTTTAAGCTCTCAGGAAATGGGTTCACTGTTTTCAGTTAAAGGGCATTAAAGGCTGGGTCCAATGTATGAAATGTGTGATTGAGAGAGTCTCCTGGAAGACAGACATTGAAAGTTTCAGAAAAGCTGTGTTAAGAAAATCATCTTTGAATATTTGAACAAACTTGCTTTTTTAAGGAACGTGATGAGAAGATTGAGGAGCTCCAAGTTGCTCTACAGGAGGCAAAACAAAAATTGGAGAGCTTGGATACTAAGCAAAAGGATTCGGGGCAAGGCTTGCGCCGATCAAAGCGAGTGGCTACCTCATGCGCTCTGCAACAGGAGCTGGCAGATACTAAAGCCAAACTGGAGCAATGTCAAATGGAGTTAAATACCGCAACAGCAGGTAAGGCAGTGATGCTGCACTGGCTCTGAACTGTGCCCAAGCAATCCCTGCAGAGGGTTAGTGATACTTTTTTCAGTAGAGTACACTGGGTTCAGACATCCTCAAACCACTATTCTGAGTTGTAGATGACAGGAACAACGTCCTGGGTGGACAGGGTTTCACTTTGTTTTCACATGAAAATGGACTTTAGGGCAGGATCCATCTCCCTGTTCAAATCCTAAATTCCCTTTGTGTAACTGAAAGGGAGAAGCCTGGAATGGCTGTGCATGTCTGCACAAACTCAAAGCTTTTCTTAGTTTGCCTGTGGCAGCTTGTCTCAAGGGAAGTCCTGACTTCAGAAAAACTTAAAGCTTATGAATATACTGTTGCTCACTACTTTTTTTTTTTGTCTGTTCCTAGAGTTGTGCAAGTACCAGAAATTACTGGAGCCACCTCCCTCTGCCAAAACCATTACTGTGGATGTAGACAGGAAGCTGGAGGATGGGCAGAAGGTAACTACACCTGTGTTACAGAAAGGAATGTTTGCAGGGCAAACTGGTTGCCAGTTTAAACAGTGTTTGGAGCTGCTGTCTCCAGGGTTTTAAACAAATGGAAGTTGAAATGCGTCTGTTGAAAACAAACCCTTACTAGAGATGTGGACGGTGTTGGTATCTGTGATCCCAGTGTACCTCACTCAGGGGGGATCCTCCCTCAGTACTGCATGCCTGAATTACTCCGGAATGGCTTTGTTTGCAGAGCAATGTCAAAGCTAGCTGTTGTACTAAATCTCTCCCTCCTGCAGAATGTCAGATTGCTGCGTTCAGAATTACAGAAACTTGGGGAGTCTCTTCAGTCTGCAGAGAGGGCGTGCTGCCACAGTACAAGTGCAGGGAAACTTCGAGAAGCCCTCTGTACGTGTGATGACATTCTGGCGAGACAGGTAATGTGTCTGTTTTGTTGTGAGTTGCAGGGGGATTTAGTCTATGCACTTTGCCATAATCAGCAGAATAACCTAGGTTCTTGCAGCTGCAAATAAAAATGACTTATTTTCTAAACATATATCTTCTATTACATTAAGGGATCTATATTGCTAATTTTTTCAATGGCTGAGTCAGACTTCATATTTAACTCTCCAAAGGAGACCCAAATTGTTCCTGTTCAGTTAACTGACAGCCTGCACCTAAAGCAGGAGAATTCAGAGTTCTCATTTCCTTATCCACTTCACTCTATCGCAGTTGCTATGGCAGCATGTTTGCAGCAGGATGGATTCAGCTTTTTCCTAGCCTTACTGTCCCTATTTTGTTATTGAACTGCTACACTGCTGACAGTAGAAGCTTTTAAGCATGGCCTTATTTAGCACATCAGTTAGTGAATTTTGGCAAAGACGGTTTATCCTCTTCAGTTCATAGTAACCAAGGAGTTAGGCACCTTGTCATATCTTTATATATATTGCCTTCCCTTTCTCAGGACCAAACACTTGCAGAACTGCAGAACAACATGATGCTGGTAAAACTAGACCTGCGGAAGAAAGCAGCTTGTATTGCTGAACAGTATCACACTGTGCAGAAGCTCCAGGCTCCTCCAACGTCTACCTTAAAGAAACGGTTCTGTGCCAACAGGGAAAACCTACAACCTAATCAACCTCCTGGTAAAAAGCCCTTCCTGCACAACCTTCTGTCATGTTCAGCTACCCGTCCTGTTGCTGGCAGAGGGTGGCAACTTCGTTCAGTTGCTCAATGACTTTTTCACAAAGAGAACCCTGCCCTGCTATTACTGGGAACAGGTGGCAAATCCAATATAATAGCATCTATTTTTCTTTGTGTGCTTGTTTATTGTAGCTGCTTGAGAGCTTATGTAAACATTTTTGGATATGTATGGTTGAACTTTTAATCAATACCAAAGTGGACAAAATGACCTTTTGTAATTTAAACAATACAACGAGGAAAGTCTTTAAATATAAAATAATGCGGATGACAAAGTTGTTTAACAAAAGGACAGTTAGAAGTGAGTTCTCATCTTCAACTATGTTGGCACATAATTAAAAATAAGTTCACAAGATCCTCCTTGAAATATATTTTCCCTTCCTTGAATTATAATCCTTTATTAAAGTATACACGTTCTAGGTCAGGGCTGTTCTCTCGGATCTTGGCTTGCAGTTCTGGCTCCAAGCGTGTTACAGACATAGAACTAAGCAAAAGAAACAGTAAAATGGTTATATATAACAAGCACTTGAATGTAAAATAAGATGGACGATGCATCTGGTTAAACTTCCTGGATTGTGAAAAGAGTTTTTATTCTTTTTTTAACTTCTTATGAAGGAATCATGCTCACAGACCAGGGGCAAACAAATCCCTGCTTAAAAGGCAGTAAGTCTATAGAGTCAAGAAGTAGCTGTTGGTACTACCATGAGGGTAGGAATTAAAATGATCGGGCAGCTTAACAGCTGCAATTTCTTAAATACTGTTTAAAGTTTAATCTTCCTATGAAATGGAGAGCCTTGGCTAAAATAAAGAACTGTACTACTCTTGCAATCCTGTGAAGTCATCTCCAGGTAGCCTAGTGACACCTACCACAATTCTCTATTCTGTGTCAGGCAGGGAAACAGATGGTATCACGACTGCTTTGTTGTACTCAAAAAAAAAAATAAAAAATTCATTGGACAAGAATTGGGTATTGTTTTCTGGAAGCCAAAAACTACTCAAGTTGCTCAATATTTTAACGGATTTAATGGATTTGGCTCCAGCTTGCATTGTTTAAGTGACATTTGGCAGCTTGTCAAGTTTAGACAACCACTAATATAATAGGGATGGCTTGAATTTAAGACCCTGTTCATACTATATACTGCAAATTGAGCTAACTCTATTTTTACGTAACCCATCCAGGTTTCACTATGATTTAGCTATAATGAATATTGTTTCTAAGACAGTTTACAGTATTGATCTATTTGTATATTGATGAAAAATAAATCAAATTAGAAATAAGCATGCACAGTCAAGTGCTGTTCTGTATAACCAAAGGAGTTTCCAGCTGAAAATAAAATGGGCTCTGACTGTATTTAATGAAGCCATAACGTTATCGGACATAAATATATTGTTTGGACAACATTAGCCTTTTTATGAATCATTCCAGTGATTCCTAACTCTGTATTGCCAAGCTCAAACTTCTCAGCTTGAACTAGCATGGTTCAACTACTTGCCCAAACCTCTTGTTCACTATTCCTATGTAGCTGCATCTCAAGCTGCTAGGAGTCTGTAAACAAATGAGCCTTATTCAACTATTGTATATTACTGGTGAGTAACGTAACATAGTTATTGCTTTTCTGAATATTCTCATGTTTATCATGCTTGTTATATGGGAATTACAATTGTATGCTCTAGGAGGCAATGACCACTTGTTTGTCTTTTTGCAGTAGCTTGTATACATCTAGGACTGTAACATTAAAGTAAGAATAACGTAACAGGAATTACGTACCTTTTCTGAGGAAACAGTGCACAACACAGGGGTGTTGCAAACACAAGACTAGAGGAGACAAAAATGGGTTTACAATATTTAGGGTGCTAAAAGGAAAATTCAAAGGCCTTAGTCATGGTCTTCTAAGCAGAAAGCTTTCTTTTTTTTGTATACAGTGAGGTAAAGTTCCATGAAGTGCTATGTAACCTTTGTTTCTCACTGCATTATACCTTACAAAATCATTTACCTACTATGTAGCACTAACTGCATCAATACCATGCTTACAAATGGGTATAAAATTATCATTTGATGTCCTTTCAGTGTTTTGCATTGGTGTGCATGACAACATAAAGCACTAGACAACAGCAAATGAAACTCTCCATTAACCAAATGTTTCAAGAATTCATCAACCTACAGGATTAGATTCCAATTATTGTTTATGGAGGTAGTAGCCAAAGCATCTTTTCTAATCAAGCTGCTACATGCCTTGTTTTGCCAATCCCTTTCTTTCTCTCCCTCCCTCTGCTTTTCTTGGCAGCTTTTTTGTTACTAAAGGCTTTTTTTTTTTTTTAATATGGTATTATCGGTTACAGATATGGAAGTGAAGTAACTGCAGTAGCCTCACTGACTCTCTCAACTTTTTTTCTTTAAACAAAGTACAAATATTGCTACTTCCTCAAAAAAACCTACAAGTATCTTTTAAAATAGCAGATACAAGTCAAAGAAATCACTTACCAGAATCCAACTAATCCAACTTGAATGGGAGCACTCATCCAAGGAAATCTCTGTTAAAAATAAACCGCACACAGTGAGTATGGTATCTTTTCTGCCCTCCTCTTCCCACCTTCCTGGAATTCTTATATCGTAAGAGAGAGACTGCACCTAAGAGACTCTTGGACACTATGAAGGCTAAAAAATTACCAGCACACCTTAAAGCTGAGCTCCAACTTGAGAGCCCCAATCCCTTTGAAAAGTAGTCAGAAAATTCCCAGTGATCTCAATGTAGACTGCTATCACACGTAAGTGTCCCTTAGAAACTATAATAGGTGGTTGACTGTTTTACTTGCAACCTGATCCTGAGTCTGGGCCATCTGAGTCACACAAGCCCCCAGTAGCTAGCCACACAGCCAACGTTTGGAGAGGTGCTGCCATACCTCCTAAGGGCACACTGAATTTTGTGCAGGCATCCCTAAGAAGAGCTAGGGCTGGTTACAGCTCCTATCTCTCCAGCAACATCAAATGGTTTTAACTCACAACTGGAGATTTGCTTTGTGAGCAACAGCAGCAACCAACCAGAAATGAGGGAGGTGTCAAGGAAAAATGTAAGTGCCTCCCTTAGCCCTTTCTCTCATCTTATGATTTGCTTTGATGTGTAGGAACTTGCTCCTGTAGCACTGTCTAGTGCCCTCCAGTTCTGCAAGAGTTCACCTTTAATAAAAGGAAATAAGGCTGGAAGAAGTGTGGATACAAAGCTGAGAAAGCAACGCATAACCTATGAATGCAGTTTTGGCATATTTCTCGTTACTGTAACTTTTGCAGAACTTAAACATATGCCAAGAAATATGATAGTTTAAATTATTTAGGAATCTACTTCCCCCCACGTTAGAATTTTAGTTGAAATTAATTACTAATGAAATAAAACCAGACCTGTTTAAACAACATCGCTGCAATGGCCTTCTGTTGCTACAATAAAATCAGTGTCTCCAGTAAGCAGGACATACACAACTGCTAACAGGAAGTTGATTTTTAAAACAAAACAGCCAATGAGTTAAAAATCATGTTACAGTGGATGATGCTTTCAACAAAGATGATGCTTTTCTGCACGAAGCACTTCTCAAGATGTAGAAGTTAGAAGGGAAACCGGTGAATAAAAGACTGGCAGTATTTGAGAGTAAAAATGATAAAAGGAAATTTAGAAAGCTTAGTAGGACAAAGCTTGGTGCTAAGGAAGGTCACAGCAGTGTAAGAAACATGGAAAACAAGCTTGTGTAGATTAAACTTTCTCCAGAGCCTGAGAGAGAAGAAATAACATAGAAGATTGTTTCTCTTTTTTTTTTTTTTATCCTGGAGTCAATCTGTAATCCAGAAATGAGTGCAGGGAAGAACTGTGCAATTCATCAATCGCCTGCAACAACAGAACAAACAGAAAAAGACAGCAATAGCAAGAAGGATAAAAAGTGAACACAGCAGCGTTTTGCTGTTCTGGCATTCCACTAAACACACCTTCTTTTGACTCTTAGCTGAGATAAGTTCATTCAAAAGGCTTTAGATTTTATACATTGGGAGAGTGCATGACAAGAGCTGGTGTGCTTAAGAGTGGAAGGGATTGGTAAATATTACATGTATTTGGGAACACAAGTCAAACTCTCCTGCAAATGACTCCCGTATCTGAAGAGAATTAAGGGAGAGGGATGCTACGCATCACAGTGTGAGTGTGGGACCCGAGATACGTAACGGAAAAGCCCCAACTAAGATTTTATAACTGAAAAGATTGTTGGAGGGTATCATGAGAGTAATTGAGGGTTATATGCCTTTATCGAAGTTGGTCATTAATCTGAGAGATGTGTCTACCAGTACAGACCATATAAACAACATCTATTTCCTGTGGTGGAATGCTTTTTGCCAAGGTACTTGATCTGAGTAACAGCATTTATTTTTCAAGAATGTTGCCCGGCTGCACTACTGAAGAAAGATGGTGAGGTAAAACTCTTAACACTGGGAGGTCAATATTAGGAACTGGAGTTGCCCAGGAAACAATGTAAAACAATAAAAGCAAAACTCAAATGCAGGATGTACACCCCTACAAAGAGATAAAAGGGAGATGTACAAGACAGTAGATGAATTTACTGTGTCAGAGATCTATCATTTAACCCTAGACGAAAGCAGGTCCCGATGAGTTAGGATTTAACTTCCAGATGTCTTTATGGCATCTTTAGTGGTTAGTGCAAATACAGGAAATGGAGAAATGATAATTAAGCACACAAAAGCCATAAGGAGAATCAGCTTTTTTCTAATTGCTTCCTTTCATTGTTGGATCTCAAAATCTGTCAGCTTTCCCAGGCTAGCTATGCCTGTTTTCAAAAAAATTAATAAATGGAACAACAGTTAAATTAGGAATGCATGGAGGACTCTAAGACATAAGAATGATGCTTTACAAAAAGAAAAAGCGCTCTGTTCTGGTTTTGTAACAGTTTTGAATATGTATTTTAGTTGCAGACTAAGAGACCTCAAGGAGCTTGTTTTAAGGATGTATGAAGCAATTTCTGGAATCAAATTGAATGCTAATACAGTATGTAGAACAGGAGACAAACAGTAGCTGAAGCTGTAAGAGTAGTAATAAAAATTAAAACTTCAGTGACGACTGGAATTTTCAGAAGTTTCTACGGAAAAAAAACAATATATTTCCTTAGGAAAAAGGTTACCTGGAACTAAAATAGATCTATAAATGCTGTGCCTCAGAGCAAGTTTGTTTATGGATCCTTCTGCTGTAGCAGATAAAATAACTTGGTTCTGCACAGAGCTTGTCAAGTGTATGTCAGCAGAGATACCAAATGCAGACATACAAAACCCATCAAGAACTACTACACTACAGAATTACAGAAAAGGCAGCCAAAGCCGCTGCTGAAACCTATAGCAAAAGCACTTGTATGTATATGAAAAAATATTTCTTCAAGTCAAGAAATAATTAGATTCTTTTAGAAGCAGCAAGTATGTGCTCGTGTTCTAAAAACATTTTTGAGTCATTTTCTAGCCATAACTATTGTGAATATTGTTAACTGACATTGGTGTTACCATCAAAATGTCCTCGTACAAAACAATGTCAGAACATTGGGGATGAATAGTGCTATATCATATACATCTTATTTCAAACATCAGCGGATGATAGCCTGCTATCACTGAGGCCAGCATTCCAGAAATATCTCTTTCTCTCTGTTTTACTGCAGAACATCATTCTATTGTCTGCATTATTTCACAACCATTTGACTATTTTCTGGCCCTGTGTGTTGCTTAATTGGTTTTGGCTTAGTTGGTTTTGGTACAAGAATTATTTTCAAGAGTGATGGTGTGCAAAGCAAAGGCTAAGAAAAATGAGTTAGTAAAGCACTGTGTGGATGGTGTTGGAGTACTGCAAATGGGATGGTGCTTCTGAAACCTCAAGAGAACATGCAGAAGCTGCTGGTTAAAAATGCAGCTCATTCCTTAATGGTTTTAATACTAATCTCTACCACGTGTTACCACTGACTACCTGCAGAGCAGCGTTTCACCTGAACTCACAGTCTTTGAGGCTGAGGGGGAGGAACAGGTGAACTTAAACGGTCATGATGGTACCAAAGACCACTGAGTAGTCACTGAAGATATCGCTCTTTTTTGCTGATCTGAAAAATTCACAACACCCTTACATTGATTATACCACACAAAACCAATAGATATTTGTCTCCAAATCCTGACAATTGCTGCAACTTCTTCCAAATGTCATGTATTTGCCAGTTGAGTTAATAGCATTTGTGGCATTTCTCCCATGTCAAATACATATAAAATCATATTTTCTCTAAATTTACGAGTTTTTTTTTAATAAACAAGAGTTTATGTTCCAAGTAATACATTATCAAGAACAAAACAGTATCACAATCTGCTTAAAGCTCCTCTGCAAACAGAGTATGGGTCAAAAGACATCAGCAATTAAGAATTAGCCAAATCAGTATAGGGCTCTTCATAACGTAGACAGTTTATTTGGAGGCACTGCAGTTTCACTTCTTTCAGGAGATTTAAGCAGCCCACACTGACTTCCACTCTAAAACTCAAATGCCATGTTTCCCATTTTTACATTCTGAGCAACAGTGTTTTCTGTTAAAAAGGGGAGGAAAAAAGCAAAGCACTTTAGTAAAAAAAAGTTTTTAAGATTGGAAGACAGTTGGGACCTCTTCCCACTGCATCATTTATACACTAATACAGAAAGCTTTATCTTAGACAAACCAAAGCAGGCAAATTCCCCCACTTGTCCTCCCAGTTCCCACCCAAACCACTTTTCCAAGGGAGGGTCTGGAGACTCTGACCATGCTTTTTTTTTTTTTTTTTTTTTTCCTTAACAGGAAGCAGACAGATTCTCTTAGGCCATTATTCCCAGCTATCTGCTGTGTTTCACAGGCAGAGACTTTGCCTGGGGCTACACAAGTAAGTAAATCAGTGATACCAACTGGCGGTGGACGAAACTCCCTTTACTGGTAAAGAAGTTATAGTTCCCTATCTGAAAATTATTTCTCTTGTGTTAGACAACCTTGTAATTAATTTCATTACTCTTCTTTACCCTCTCACGCACACCCAGTACATAATGTTGATTTAATTTATGTATTTACTAACACTACGTGTTTGACTTCACACTACTTTAGCATAAACAGAATATAACAAATACGTACTTTTTGATGAAGCATGCCCATTCTATGCCTCTCCTGCACTTGCTCATCCAGTGAATTTTAAAGGACCATTTTCAAAAGATTTTTACCACCATTGCTGTTTCCAAAGTCAAATTGCTACTAGAGCAGCTAAGCAAAGCCTCCTTATTGATATCTTGAGAAAAAAGCATTATTAAAATTATCAATATTTTTCTAATAAACTGTATTGCAAGTCTCAGTACAAGGAAGGTTTATTAATGAGGAGCAATTCTGCGTTATAAGAACAATTATAAAAATAATCAAAAAAATATTATAATTTCTTAATGTTATTTACACTGTGATGTAAGAAAAGAACCAAGCTATCTCTGTCTACGAAAGGCATAGAGAAAGCGACAGCTGTAAAGCAAGCTCTGCAGTGATGTCCTCCCGGAGTTTGGGAGGCAAATATGAAGCCTCAGAAAGTATTTTAAACTCACAAAAATATTAACTTACAATATGAAATACATATACATATATTATCTAAGACTAACCTTTAAAAAGGCTCTCTTTTCCAGTGTATTCATTATGAAGGGAGGAATTGCTGCAAATGAGGAAAAACAAAGCCTTAACATTAGAGAAAAAAGCACTTTGTTTTAAGTTTATGTTAAGATGAACTAATACCGTAATACAAATTTCACAGCCATTCGTCATTAACTGAGCTTTCATTTCATACTGCCAATTCAAGATACTGGATTGGTATTTACAGGGGTAAATTCTCTCAATAAGTAAAATTTCTAATTTCACATGTAACTAAACCTGAGCTCAGTAAATTGGCACTGGTCAGAGCACTTACTCTTCAGTAAACTAATTCCACTCAAGCAGAATTTGCTACCATTCCTTTACTATCTGTCTTTTCTGCAAAAGCATCCCAGGAGCTTTTCTGCTGCACTTCAGGGTAACACACTGTGGATGTCTTCACAGCAAGAAATGTACCTTTCTCTGTGGAACTTTTTAGCAGAAATGTAAATACTGCCTGCATAACTGTAAGATAATTTGGCCTCTCAGAAAAACAATTTATATAGAATTTAAGCGCACTCTTTCACATTAGGAATCAATAATCAGGAGCTGCACATGACTGCAGTTATTCTTACCCATGCCAGGCGCAGCCATTAGAATCCTTGATATAACCACCTGGGTAATTGCCTGCTGAGCTGCTTTTGTTGATTCACCCAGTCTGTTTCCATTCTCATCAGTGACAGGGATTCCAAACTTGAGTTCCCTGTCAAATAAGGGGCAAAAATAAAGCAGTGACTGATATGCATTTATTTACCTTTTTTTTGTCACTTTCTCATTCTCCCCTTAAAATTGTCAGTTATAAGAATCATGGGTTTTATTTTGTTTTCCAAGCTAGCTTGTTTGTAACACTCTTTGGCACAAAAATTTCAAAAGGCAGAGAAAGATCTGGGGAAAAATATGCTGAAAAGTAAACAGCTGAATATTTGTAACAGCAATCTTCTGCTTGAGCCTGGACACATGCTCAAGGAGGAAGAAAGGAGACATGTTGTTTCTGTAGTCCACAGAAGGGAGAGCTCCTTCAAAAAGCATTCAGAAAAGCAGAATGTTCTGGACTGCTCTGGAAGTGGTCTGTCCTTTCCGACAGACAACACAGGGAACACAGGGAGATTAGTTTCACTGAACTAAAACTAGAAGTCTTTGTGTAAATTCCCCTCTGGCATTCTAGTCTGAGTTTTCATTTCAACCACTAAGAACATATTTGAAAGTATACAAGTGTGCACAAAGCAAACTACATTTCTGTAATGTATTATTCAAGTGCAGGATTAGGCATTAAACTCACATACTGGGAAGAACTTGTAGGAAACGGAGAAGCAGACAGAAGGGCAGATATATGGAGGACTGCCCATCTTTTATAAGAGATAAAGTACTACCATGGATTGAACCTCATTGGGAATATAAACTTTAAATATTCCCTTTTTTGCCCCAAACCTTGTGTTTATAAGACAACGCTTTTCATTTGTTTTTCCCCCACTTCTATTCTTAGTCCTAGTCAAATAAGAACACGTATGAAATTTTGCTTCTGAGGAAGTGCGTATTTTTGTAAGCTCAGATGATTAAACAGAACTGCAGAGCCTGACTTCTATGACTAACTTCTGTATGTGGGATTTGAAGCACCATCTTTGAAATGACTGTATTTTTCCAAAGTAGAGTTTGTATTTAAAGAGTCCATGTGATCAAGTCTTGAAGGACCAGTACTTGGGTTTTGAGATCTAAGACTGAAGAACCCTATTGATATTTATTTGAGGAGAATGAGGATGTTCTATTTTATACCTGTCACAATCAATCAATCAATACGAGATCATGCATGAGGTTTTCGCAAGGTTCTGAACCAAGCTTAAGATATATAATGTGCCTTATTTAGTAACTTGCTGATTTCAAAACTCAATAACACCCTTTCTTCTAGAATGAGTGATCTTTGTTCTTTCTCCTACCTTTGTCTCATTAGTGGAATATTAATGCAGTTCGCAGCAGCAACAGCAGCAAAAGGAACAAACCGTCCTATAAGAGGTGAGACATGCTGTAAAAAACAGAGAGGAGGGGAAAAAAAAAGAAAAAGAATTACATAATAATTTTATTTCCCAAAGGTCATATTAAAATGCTTAATGCGCTAATGACAAACCAGACTTATTTCCTTTAAATTAAAATTTAGTGAAAAATCACTGCTGGGGCAGAGGTAAAACAACAAATAAACATGGCATAAGTCACAAATCTTCTCTCAGAGTAACCAGTGGCAGGAGATGGGCAAAAACAATCTTAATTTAGTAGCATCACTGCAGAGAAGTGTCAGCCTCTCAGCATGCCTGGCAGCCCAATGGCAACACTAAATAGACCTTAAATTCACTGCCTCCACTGCCAAGGTGACAGCCGGCAGCATCCACACCAGCTGCTTTGCATCTAAGGGCACTGACTATGGAGGCTATTCATCTAGTCAATGTCTTGTCTAATTTGAACTGCTCTGCTTAGAATAGTCTCTCAAATGACTTGTCAATGCTATAACACTCCCAGTACATAAAGCATAAGCAGAGGGGTACAAAATACTTTGTTGCTGTTCTTTTTTTTCCTGGTAAAGGACCTTTTTTCTTGATTGTGTTGTGCACTTGTTTAAAGAATTTGAGTTTTCTGCATTTATGAGCAGCACTTCCTTACAAGTTCTTTGTCCAGTCTAGAGCAGGCGTCCATGTTTGCAGAATTGATACTGCCCCTTAAAAACGCACCTATACAGTTTATAGGATAATGAGTCCACATTATTGTAATTACATCCACTCCAATTAACTTTCAAATGCTATTAGATACTTTGACATGTAAAAAAGAAACTGCAAAAAAAGCAACTTAACTAGATACAGTTTGTATTAACAAAACACAAAGCTCTTTGATATACATATAAGGAAGACAGACTGTTTGAAATACATATAAAACCATCTCCATGGGGCAATAATAAGGTGGGGATCTAAAGAAGGGAACTGCCAACAGCCATTACAACTCCATATTGGGAGTTATCTGTAACATGACACAGATACACAGGAGGAGAAACGAGCCATTAACATCTCACAGAACACCAAAGTCTAGTTAAGAATGGAAAGAAATAGCAGCAATACCTTTGTTAGTGCATTAAGTCCTAAAGCTGTTGCGACAGCACCCGTGGTAGCAGAAACATAGGCTGTTCCCAGCTGGCTAAAACAAAAATACAGGCATTTGCACATGCACAACAACTACATTTATGTCACTTTTAAAAATAATTAAATTTTACTGATGCAGTTATGTGTCCCTCCCCCCGTCCCCCCCCGAGGTTAAGAGGCAGACATTTCTGTGCCACTGCAATAAGATGTGGATGGAAGATTCAAATGGGACACTAAATGAAACACTTTTCTTTCACTAGCACTAAAAATCATATGCAAGCAACATTTTAACACTGAATGAGGTTCTTCTGGTTCTGCATTGCTATCTCATGTGTCTGAATGAACACCTTGAACAATTTAGTTCTATATTTAATTGCCTAATTGCTTAAACTAATAAAATCAGTTTGGATTTCTAAGGCCATGTCTACAATAGTGATTAAATTCAACTGTACCAAAGCCCATTCATGCAGACCAGTTATACTGCAAACACCCAAATTCAACCCAAACTGCCTTAAATCATGCTTTGCATACTTCCCAGCTAGGAGCTGTCCTTACATCCTCGAATCCACTGCTTTCTCCCAGACATCTACAAGCAAGCCAGCCTCAAAACCAGGAAGTCAAGCACTGCAATTCCAGTCTCCTGTTCATGATTTCTAGCTTTCTGCATCTATTTAATCTCTCTCTTTGCCTTCAAGTAGAGACAAGTACTGTGCAGATCAGTTCCTTGAAGGGTCCTCTCTTTGTAAATAAGCACACAGTGTGTTGTGTGCTGTACTGCAAGGCACGCTGAAGAAGTGGACGCTGAAAGACACCTGAAGGTCCACACAAAAGATCAATTTAAGAAATATCCTGGTATAACACCAAACTGATGAGGCACTTTCAACTGGTTGACCGAGCAATGCAACACAGACTTCCATTAAATCCTACGCTGTTAAGTGCTTATAATCAGGGTGCTTTATCTTTTTTTATCTTGAACGAAGAAATGGAGTTCTCGCCTGCACCATTCTCAGACTTCTTGTCTGCGCATACCAAATTAATAATAAGCATAGATGAAAAAAACTTATCGCTCTATCACCTCAAACTTTAAAGCCCAACCATGTTCCGGTACATCAGGGAACAACTTATAAACACATCAGAAGTATCCGGTTCAGTGTCTGACCTGACAGTAATTGGGGCATCACCGCTCCTGTTCGTGTAATTTACTATAGCATTGAAGGACTGGTTAATCCACTGCCAGAAAACCACGGCTGGTGTCGTTCTTGAAAAGAGAAATAATTATTATTTTAAAAATACAGCAATCAACAGCACAGAAAAATGATGGCAATGCAAGAAAAGACAGTGCAAGCAGTAATCATGCAGATTTATTTTTGTTTATCCGAATGAAACAATACAGTCAATGAGCTCCTGTCTTAATAATGAAAGTACACGCTACTTCTAAGAATAGAATTTAAAAGCATTGTAATTACATAGCAAGGTTCACTTGGGACAAAGGTTTGTTGTAATAACAAAAGCATTATAGGAAACCTCACTATAAAAAACACACAGAGAAATATGAAAATCTCTAATTTCTAGAACACTTTTCCAGGGTTATTATTCCTTTACAGTCTGCTAGTTCTCTTTGGAAGCTCCATAAGTGATTGAGAGGTGGATTTTAGGAGACGGGTTTTGTCTTCTCGGTCATCAAAAAGCTAATATGATGTCATTGTTTTAATAAATCTCTGTGACATTAAAACATTCAGCCACATGTAGAACCAGATAAAAAGACACAACTCCAAAATGAAGAATTATTTTCATGAAAATATCTGCATGTTTAAGTAGTACAGGTACAACACAGAAATTAATCTGGTTCAGTACAGCATGAACCAGATGGCTAGTATCAAAAGAAAAAAAAAAAAAAAGAGCCTCAAGGAATCCTCATAACCTATGTCAGTGCCAGTATGCAGATGCCTTCGGACAGAAAGGTGCTAACTCGTGAGCTCAGGTGGGGGGCAGTGAAAAAAATATATTCTGTACAAGTTGCAAAGTCCCTCTTTAAGAAGGTAATGTGGTCCCTGTTAAACTGCAGCTATAATTCTTTTACAAATGGTGATGCTGATAAGTAACAAAAGTGACAGTCAATTTCTTTCACAATGTAGGGGCTGTCTTGTGGAGGGATGAATGCTTTTGGTCTCAAACTATTAGCATATCTAAACAGGACAAACACATAAAAAGAAATCCACTAAGGGCCATTAAATAAAACACAACCTCCACAAGCAGTTGGAGGTTCAGAGAGTATACCAGGGAAAAAGTGTTTCTTTGTGTACTCAGACCACAAACTCTGTCCCTCCGTGGAGACACCACTGAGGATTCTGCTCCACCAGAATTTCAGTCAGGTGAACCAGGCCACCATAAAACAGTTGCTACTCAAAGCTACGTCCTGACCATTAACATAACTTTTCATAGGACTTTAAAGCTTATACCTAATTAAATTATTTACTAAAAGAGGCAGTAATGGAAACAGGAATGTGGTTCTCACTGGAGGGCTGATATGGAAATCAAGAGTGCTAAAGAAGAAGCAGTAGTTCTACCAATTTCTGTAACAGGCGGGAAAGCAAAGAGGAGATGCTAGAGTAGAAGGTGTGTGTCTATCATGAGGCTTTGGTTCTGAAATATGAAAATATTTCTGAAAATATGAAATCTGAAGATACGTTATTCCTTTAAATTGAAAAAAAAGAAGAAAGATTCAGGAGATTTGAAAGTGCATTCTTATTCCCTCGGGTTTCCAGTATCTCAATGAGATGCCAAAGTATCAGTGCTAAACTAGCTGGATTTTTTCTGTCACTACTGCTGTTCTTCCTCCATTCTTCCTGTGCACGTGCAACACTTTTTCCTGACTTATCTTTTCCTGTTTCCTTGCTGCTGCCGTGTAGAGGACGTCAGGCCTGCTATAAAGTTCAGGCATGACTCACATTGCCTCGCTGCACGCCTAAGAGCCCTCATATGTATAATGAGGAATTTGCTTCTTCCAGTGGCCAGCAATAACCAGCACACCGTGACATGCAGTTAGATAGAGGCTACACTGCATCATCCAAGGACTTCCACACAATCCTGTTTGAACTGCTGAGGGTTTGGTCCAAATAAACCAATATCTTCCAGGCTAATAAACAACCTCATTTTGAATCTAAGCATCTCTACCAATAATGCAAAGAAAAGGTTTATAGCTGCTCTAAGTATTATAGATAATAACAGCACATGGATAAAAGAATAACAAGTTAAGAGGAAGCGGTAATTGTGAATGGGCAGCTGTACTGATGGTTTTATTCATATTCTCAATTGTTTCTTAAACACACAGGTATACATGCATCATCCAAAATGGCTGTGCCTTTCTGGAGTGTGAGTCAAGAATTTGTAAAATCTCAGCATCAAAATATCGTTATTTCCTCTGAACCTCCCACCAGTTCTTGCTAACATAGCGTTGCATCACAAAACCATTTCTAACATGGAGTCTGCTAACAGATGATGTTGGCTTCTGCTGTGGACTTCACTGTCCTGGTGATTCAAGATCTATTGAGGAAATGGAAGGATCAAACAGGAGTTGGAGAAACTCGATGACTGATAGACCGAAGCACACTGAGTACTCACTTGGCAGACAGAACATCCTACACGCCAGATCTCTACGGTTAGAAATTCCCAAGTATCTCCTCTTTGTCCTCCACACAACTCTCCTACAAGGATGGGATTTTGGAACATTCAACTTTCCCAGTTTAAGGAAAAGTGGGATGGTGAAGGAGAGGGGCTATCTCACAACTACTTTTAAAGGAAACCACTAATCAGTGTGAGGGAATGCAGAGAGAGAAGAGAAAAGGAAGCAAAATGTTACACTTTAAAAAATCTATTATAAATCTTCTAAAATACTCTTTCGACAGTAACATTGTTTTTCACTTATCTAATCTGTAAGGTAATGTTTTATGTGTTATATTGCCATCACTTACCTATAAAAGGTCATCATACAACCTGTGATAGTCATGTTCATGGGTACCTGAGCCGACATTCGGCCAATCAACACCATCTTTTCACCAGTGTCTGGGTGAAAGGCTGAATCATAGATATATTTTGCTCTCCACAAGTCATCTTCTGTCAAGCCAGGAGCCACGATACCTTGTCTTGGGACAAGTTAAAAAACAAAACAAGACAACAGCAAAAAGCACAACTGTTACAAAATGCTGCAACCTCAAGTGACAAATGTGTCATCAGAGGATTTTGGGATGTTCATACTAAGTTAACCTAGCCTCAGAGTTAGCTTGTAGATCTTCAGCTTTTAAATGGACTGGTGAAATAAAAAGAATCAAAACTCAGTGGTTATGTTGGCTGAGTCGATATATCCAGCGCCAAATTTCTATTTACTCAAACCTGTACTATATTTTAGAGCTAAACTTTAGAGCTAAAATCTGTGGAGTCAGTAGCTTGAAACTTTGAAAATTCATTTTGCAAGTATTTAAGAAAGTAGTTGCTCCAAACAATATGACACATAAGAGGAAGTTTTAAACCCTGTTGTCATATTAACTGTTTTCAGAATTAGATGCTTCTGCATTTCAGCATACTTAATAGGGGTTCTCAGATGACATCATTTCCCCATTCATGAGCAATTTTGTTTAAAAAAAAAAAGTGCATCAAGCTCTAAAATAAGAGAGAGTGGTGCAATGAACACAGTGTCTTAAGTATTTCCTTTTAAATATGTAACCATGCGTGTATCACTGACATGGACCTTTTTGGGCCGGCAATAAAAGTGATCAATGCCATACCTGTAATCATGCACAATTTTTCTTGCATTTTCCAGCTGAGCATCAGATAATAAAATATTCCGAGGGTCTGTTACAGTAAAGAAGTGACTGGCTCGTCCAACAAAAGTGCTTTGATCCCATCGGGGCTCCTTGATATTAATATTTAATGGTATATCTGCTGACATCTTCAAAACCTCTGGGGAAAATAAAACAAAAAATGGGAAAATATGCAATTCAGAATTCCTCTGATTTCATGTCTCGATAACCTGCAAGATGAAAAGTGGTTATGCTCACAGTAAAAAAAGTCAGAGAAAAACCACTGAACAACTTGCAGAACTGAGCTTTAAAGGGGCAAGTATCCACCCAGAGTGCAGATGATGTCAGAGACCATCATGGGTTTTGATGAGGTTGGTATTGATATAAGTAAAAACGCAAAAACTTAGTTAAATGTCTGCAAAAATGTTTCTGTGCCTGTTTCCCCAAGACATTTATACATTACATCTTTGTAGGAGTATGAATATCTGATTATGAGGTAGAGGTATATCATATACATGTACAAGTATCTGAGGATGAGGCAGATGCAAAGGAAATATAGAAATTTATTAATAAGCAGCTGTATTAGATAACAATATACTAATCAGAACATTGTCTTAAAGGGAAGGAGAAATCAAGTATTTCAAGAGATACCTGAAGAGCTGCTATAAAGTGCAATGACAGAAGAAATATTTAATAAAATCCAGTTAACTTCTCTGGCACAGCAAAACAAAACAAAAATTAGGAACACAAACCCAACAATTTCTTTTAATAATGTTGTTTCTCTAAGTCCATGTTTTAACAAACAAAAGATTATATAATGCAACAATTTTCTACATTATGAACACATGACCAGATCTCCTAATGATACTTCAAAGATGGTTAAAGAACTACAATGAAGGGCACTGAACTAACATAGTTGTGCATTTACGGAGCCTAAAGCCCAGAAAATTAAAAATTACTTCAGGGTGACTAAGTTTACTTCAACATCTAATGAAAGGACAGTCCCTGCATAGCACAAACTATACGAACTTTTAACTCTCTTGAGAGAAATTTCTGAAACATATTCAATAGCCACTTAAAAAAAAAAAAAGCCATCCTCCAAATAATGCTTGTACTTCAAATGGCTGAAGTAAATTGGATCTATAAAAATACCAATGATATTACATAGCACTTTATCAGTTTTAATGAGAAAAACATCATAATTATGAGGACAACTGATACATACGGTCTAAACTGCCACTGGAGAGTATTTTCATCTTAAGAACACCATGAAGCTGTCTGAGACATTTTGGTCAGTTTTATGAAACTTACATGATGTAGAAAAGAAAAAAAAAATCACAAAAAGAAAGTAACTAATCACGTAAATTGTCTCCATCATAACAAAATGTGAACTTCAGGGGAAAAAAGAAGAGACTGTTTATGAAATCTGAAGAAGCTATTGTCCACCTTTCAAATAAAATTATGACCCTTCTCCTCTACCTCAAGTGGAAAAACTTTGAAGTCTTGGGAAAAGTAAACTTCTACAGAAATAAAGGCTAAAGTCTCCCTGTCTATCATGACCAGCCCTAAATCACCAGCTTTAAGAAACAAGAAGGAGAAGCAAACTAATAAATATTTAGAAGACACTATAGAACAACACTTCTAGAAAAAAAAAAAAGATAAAAAAAAGAAAAAAGAAAACAAACGGAATCATTTGTTCTTGAAAGGGAGCTACATCAGCTCAGTTGTACAAGAAGGAGATTATAAACCTTTGTAAGATGCCTCATCAGAACCATGAAATCAACCTTGTAAGGAGGATAAGGACTACATAAAAATTGTTCTGCCTTGAACCACTTATCAGCAAGAATTGCTGTCAGAGTGGAAATTATTCAGGGAAACGACTGTTTTCCCTGTGTTTACCCAGCCTTAGCATTTTTATGCTTATGTAAAGCAGAAGTATGACTTTTACTTAGGACTTCTGCAGTTGTTATTGTGATTTAATTACAAGTAAAGCCTAGTGGCCACATATTATTCTATGGTATACCATACACGCACTACAGGAAACATTTGATTTTCTGATACATCATCTGCCAAGAAGAACCGCTGATGACATTCAGATTGCTCAAATTCTTCCCTGTGTTACATGCGCTCATCACACCAATAGAAACTGCGTACGCATAAGCACGATGGCGCTGTGCACCAGACATGATTGTAAAGCTGTAAAGATAAGGTAGCAAGAACGCAGAATAACTGCATTATAAATTAAGACAAGCAATGTTTAAAGAGGATTTGGCAAGTACATTCTACTGAGCACATGGTAATGAAGAAAGCAAAGTAACCTACTGCTAGTACACCAAACTTTGAGAACCCAGGATGGATTAAATAAAAAATAATGAAGCGCTGTCCTTCACAATCACAGCAGGATTAACAGCTGAATGATGAAAATGTCATATCTCAGCTAGTATTGCTAAGTAAGTTCATTAAAAATCTAGTAGAAAATCCTAATTTGGTGCCACTCAATAAAAATGTCCTTCCCTTCATACATTTACTGGTAATTATGCAAAGTATCTTTAAGTTAAATAATCAGTTTCTACTAAAAACCCAAGGAGGTTTTCTTCATCAAGCGAAAAAACAAAAGAAAGCATTTAGGATGTTTATGTATTATTTTTATGTTTAGCAAGTATTATTAGCAATGGAATAGTGGAAAACCAAAAGCATTAAATAAGACAGACCTCTGTTTTCCACCAGGCGCAAGCTCTTCCTTGAATAAATAGTCTCCAATTCTATAGAACAGACCTTATTGTTGAACTTTACACAAGCTAAATCACACAAAAATTATAACTACACAGATATTTCTGTGTCCTCCTCTCTAAGTTTTCCTGACATTAGGAGAAACTCAGAGTTGTACAGGCAAAGCACAGCTGTTTGCCTTTGCAGTGTAGACACCAATTGTGTAAAACCAAACTGTGTTTCTACAGATATTGCTAAATTCAGGATAATCATGAACTGACAGGCTGCAGGTAGGACACCACTCGGATTGCTTTTGCTTTTTTCCTGATAAACTGTATTAAGATCTTAAATGCTCAATTAATCCTTTCAAGACAAGTTTAAAATTCCCAGTTTCTTCTCCAAGTCATCATGTGCAAGGTTGTTTCAAAGACTCCCAAATCAATATAAATTCTCAGAGCTTTTATTACAACAATTAACACCTCCCCAGCTAGTTGACAAAAGCATAAATCATTCTGAATGCTTGGATAAAGGAAAATATCCCTGAATATACTGAAATATCCCCATAAAATGATACTGTGAAAAACATGTGATCATCTGAAATCACAAGGCCAGGGTTTTCTGCAACTCTCTCCATCCAATGCAGTGCTCTTCCTGTATTAAGATGTGAAACCAGAACAAATAATGAAATAAAACCAGCTTCCACTAACAAAAATTAAGACCTTCTTTTGACCAGCACTGACCTTATTGACAACTGAGCACACAGAGCTGGATCTACCCCTTTCTGTCAAGAGTTAAAAAGCTCTGCTCACCTGGCACTGACACCAACCAGCAGCGCTGAACCCCTGGGTACAACAAAGACTGCCGTAGCGCGCTGTCTTCTTTCCCATCAGGTGTATATTTCATGGAATATGAGCTATTTGGTGCGGTAACTTATTACATAATTTTAATTTAATACATTAAAATGGTATGGTATTGTGAGGTGCAACAGAAGAATATGCCATTTGTATTTGGTGAATGTCATGAATATCTAAAAACTATTCACTCTACAGTGTTTTAACTGTTAAGAAGGTGATCCACTACTGCATAGAAATAGCTGCCAAATATGTGTTTCAATGATTAAAATGAACATTGATAAATATATTTAATATTATTAGATCAGACCTACTGAATACACTTTCTTGCTATTTCACACTACATCATTTTTTCCCTAGTGGCCTTCAGTTTTTCTTTGGTACAAGAGACCTCAAGAAAAATGTACTGTTCCAAAGGCTTATTCATGTATTAAAATTTGCAGTAATTAACTCAAATAAGGAAGTATAAAGCAAGTATACAGGAGCATCAGCACTGCTGCTCCAACTTACAGTAAATATAGTCACGATTCCACTAATCTTTTCCCTGTCCCTCCACTCCCATTTCCCTTACTGTTAAGTTCATTATTGTATGACAGCTTTTTTTAAGCTTTACTATATGCTGAGATTTGATTTCCCTACAGTGAAACAATTAACCATATAAACTTCAAGAAAATAAAGTGCTGAGCAATACATCATTTACTAGGCTAACCTTGAAGCATGAGGGTATTTGTATCATAATTTTACATAACTGACATTAGACCAGTAAAATCTAACACTACTTCTTTTTGCAATTTAGTCCAAAGACATTTAGAGGTGTTAGCAGCTTTTCAGCACTGTTAAGGAGCATCCTTCTTCCCACACATAGGTAAAAGAAACAGACCATTAAATACCATAACTTGGCTCAAGACCACAGGTAACGTCAGAAATGAGAGCAGAACCTAGACCTGACTATGAACCTGTGCTCTGAGTACTGCTGATACAGCAAGACAGAAGTTATTATTTCACAAAAGTAATGACGAGAGATGGAAAAGCAAGAAGCAGAGAATTCATCCCTCACTTCTAGTTGAATATTCTTGTCCTTTTATTCCATGTTCCTGTTTGCTTTAAGTACTTCCACAGTCACACAACAGTTTAAAACACCACAATGCAGAGACACCTGTGGATTAGTAGAATTATTTTCATGTGATACATTTCTCACCAGGCATGTTGCAGAATGAACACAAATCATGGAAAGGAAAAAAGACTCAGGACAGATTTGGAGAACAGAGTTCTCATGCAGAACGTCTGAATACGAGATGCTCCTTAGGTTTCCTTTCTCTTTCTTAGTACTATACCATTAAAGACACCCTCCTGTGAAAAGTGATATATTGTGGAAAAAAACCCAAACATTTTCTGGGCTAAAATGGTAACTGCTGGTTTTGCAAAGCAGTACACTATGAAAGCAGGGTGAACTCATTTATTCAAAAATTCTTTTCCACAAAAAAAAAAAAAAAAAAAAAAAATATCTGTAAATTAGGGCTGGTAAGTTGTTCTATGAATGCTTCCCTATTGGTATATTATTTGTAGGAAAGTCCAAGTTTCAATATTTTTACAAT